GTATATATTTCCCTGTGCTATATAGTATAATCTTAACATCTATTCTACATATGCCTATCAGCATCTACAAATTTTGAAATCCCAGTCTGTCCCCTCCCACCCCCTTCCCCTTGGCAACCACAAGTTTGTATTCTATGTCTATGAGTCTATTTCTGTTCTGTATTTATGCTTTTTTTTTTTTTTAGTATTCCACACATGAGTGAGCTCACATGGTATTTTTCTTTCTCTTTCTGGCTTACTTCACTTAGAATGACATTCTCCAGGAGCATCCATGTTGCTGCAAATGGTGTAATGTTGTCCTTTTTATGGCTGAATAGTATTCCATTGTATAAATATACCACCTCTTCTTTATCCAGTCATCTGTCAATGGACATTCAGGCTGTTTCCATGTCTTGGCCATTGTAAATAGTGCTGCTATGAACACTGGGGTGCAGGTGTCTTCTTGAAGGAGGGTTCCTTCTGGATATATGCCCAGTAGCAGGATTCCTGGGTCATATGATAAGTCTATTCCTAGTCTTTTGAAGAATCTCCATACTGTTTTCCACAGTGGCTGCACCAACCTACATTCCCACCAGCAGTGTAGGAGGGTTCCCTTTTCTCCACAGCCTCTCCAGGATTTTTGAATGATGGCCATTCTGACTGGTGTGAGGTGATACCTCATTGTAGTTTTGATTTGCATTTCTCTGATAATTAGTGATACTGAGCATTTTTTCATGTGCCTATTGATCATTTGTATTTCTTCCTTGGAAAATTGCTTGTTTAGGTCTTCTGCCCATTTTTGGATTGGGTTGTTTGTTTTTTTCTTATTATGTCCATATGAGCTGCTTATGTATTCTGGAGATCAAACCTTTGTCAGTTTCATCGTTTGCAAATATTTTCTCCCATTCCGTAGGTTGCCTTTTTGTTTTGCTTATGGTTTCCTTTGCTGTGCAAAAGCTTGTAAGTTTCATTAGGTCCCATTTGTTTATTCTTGCTTTTATTTCTATTGCTTGGGTAGTTTTTAAAAGGGCACAAATCCCATTCATGAAGGCTCTGCCCTCATGACCTAATCACCTCCCAAAGGCCCCAACGCATAATACCATCACACTGAGGGTTAGGATTTCAACATACGCATTTGGGGAGGCCACAAACATTCAGTGCAGGCCTTCTCCAACCATCTGCCTACTACAGATGTGGAAACTGCGGCTCATATGGTTACCTGCATGCCCAAGGTCACACTGATGGTGAACAGCAACGCCAGCACACAGACTCAGGTCTGAGTCCAAAGTTCACACGCTTCACACTGGGTCTTTCCAAGTTCTACAATGTGAGGAAATAAAAAGGGCAAAAGGGGAAATGTGGGTATCAGCAGGCTAGGCAAGGACACCAGCATCAGTGAGTACTCACCACGTGGTGAACAAGGGGAAAAGAACGTGGTGAGCGAGGACTGTGGGAGCACAGGAGTTGCCAGGTTCTCTAACGACCACTGCACATCTCACAGGCGACACTGGTGGAGGAGAACCTCTTGGCAGGAGCACAGCGGCAGAGTCTGGGACATCAGCACAACGGGGTTTGGGAAGCACCTTGTTACCTTGCTATGGGTTAAATCCGTGAACACAACTTCTTGCCCCTGGCCTGCCCACCCCCCCAAACACACACACACACACACACACACACACACACACATACCCCAACCCTTTCTTCAAATGTGGATGCAACACAAAGGCTGGTTATAGTTTCAGAAGAACATAAATGTTCTTTTTCTTTACTCTAGTCGTGCCTGGAATGCCTTCATTCTACTGTTTCCTTCCTCCCCACCACCCCTAATAAAATAAAATACAATAATAGCAGCATGCTAGAGTGCCCAGTATGCTCCAAGTGCAGGCTTGGTTAAACAAATCACATTGACCTTTAATAACGATGTGCCAAATGCTTCCTTTTCTCATTCAGTATGTTAATCTTCAGGCCAAACCACCATCAAAGGAAGCATCATTAAGTGCGAACCTGAGCACACTACTCCTCCCCTCAGTGGCTCCGTGTGGCCTGCAGGATGAAGCCCTAACTCCCAACAGCACAGAGAAAGACCTTCTGGGTGTGTCCTGTCCTGGCCCGCCAGCCTTATTTCTCACAACACCTTTCCCCCTGCATCTTGCCCTCATGCTAGCCATCCCAAGTCTGCACTGCTCTTGTGTCTTTCGCTTTCTCTAGCATGACTGTCTACAATGCCCTTGACAGCCACCCCCTACCAGCCACACACTTATTACCTTCTGTCATTCAAGATGCACTTCAGGTGAGCTCCTCCAGGAATCCTCTGGAGCCCCAGCCCCAGGCAGAGCTGACAACCTCTCAATGTAGCCAGTGCAGATACATATCACTGTCTCTGTGACTCACTGTATTTACTGAATTACGTCCTGCTTGCCCATACCTAGCTCAGTGCCTGACACATACTAGAAGCTTAAGAAATAGAGCCAAATGATGGCTACTTCACATAAGCGTATTGTGTTGGCAGCTGGTCTAACTCCCAAGGACCATCACACCATTTGTCATGGAAGCGTCTGACTGCACAGGGTGCAGACCCAGGCCAGCCACACTCCAGTTACCATGTCTCTTTGGGGCTTGTCCTGATTTCCCGATGTTTTGATAGAAACATTTAAAAGGGAAGAGAAAGTCCTTTCTCCTAGGGTTGGTCTCCACATCCAGCTTGACCAGTCTCTTCCAGGGGCATTTTGTGGACAGAGCCCCGGAGAAGCTCAGTTACATTTTAAAGGTAGGCAGAGACCAGGAGGGGAAGTTCCAGATGAAGCAGGCCAACAGTGGTTTTATTCACATCATTCCCAACCACTGGATCAGCTGACTTGTTCTTAATTCAGTTGGCAAGCAAAGGACCACTGAAGAGGCAAAGATGGCTCTTTCCTCCCAAAGAAAACTGAGTGAGCAATTTCTGGAGCAAGATATGAGGAAAGTAAGGGGCCTTTGCCCAGGAAAATGGATTAGCAGCATTAATGCTCAGGATCAGTAGCTAGGTAGGGGCTGGGTCAAGGTGCACTTATTGCCACTGATGTTAGAGTCTACATACATTTATTTTCCCACTTATTGTCTGTCTCTTCACTAGAAGGAGGGCGGGCATCTGTTCTTATTTATTGCTCTACTCCCAGAGCCTAACCCTGTGCCCAGCACCGAGGTGTTTAGTGAGCATTTGTTGAGTGAATGAACGACTTTGCCCTGGAAGTCAGGAGAGCTGTCCCCACTCTGCAGCTACCATCTAGCGCTGTGACCTTGGGCAGTTCACTCGGCCTCTCTGATCTTCAGCTCCTTGTCAGTGAAGATGTTATTCTATGCCTGACCAGTTTTGCTAGGACAGTATGAGGTTCCAGCTGTATGCAAAAGGACTTTTTTTACCATTATATGTGCACAGTACTCAATTTGAGAGATAATGTCAACCACCAAAGAGTTAGGTCTTTCCCACTGGGAGGTGAACATGTGGATGAGAAAATGTATGTGAGCCTAGGAAAACTGGAGGAGCCAGTCTCACCCCTCTGCCAGCCAGGCTGTGGGTCCCTGCCATGTGTTCTCCAGGCTCCCTGGGTCAACCACAGTGGGGACACTCATGACAAACCAGCAAGCACAAGACCCCTGAAGAAACAGATCAGGGATACTGGGGATGGAGGGCAATGGAAGCCACGAATGTAGATAGGCTGTGATGAGAGTGTAGACGAAGGGAAAAAGAGCTTGGACAGATCTTTGGGAAATGCCAACACTGAGAAAAGCAAGTAGAAAATTAGGATCCAGCAAGAGAACCCCAGAAGGAATGCCCAGAAAAGTAGGACTACAAAGCATGGTGCTTTAGAAGCCAGGAGAAGGGAGCAAGAGTGTGCAAGAGAAGGGAGGAGGGGATCATGAGGAGAGGAGGACAGAGCTTCATTGAAGTTGATAGATATTTGAAAATTACTTCATAAAAAGACAACCAATACATTGAATTTAAAAATCAGAATAAAATACACTAAAATGTTAATGGCAGTTGTTTTATATGATCAGGGCTATTATCTTCTCTCATCTGTCTTTTTTCCATATAGTATGGTATGTACTTACGTCACTTTTATAATTGAAAAAGCATATTCAGTAATAAAAGACACATGAGTGTGAACTCCTCGAATAGGTGTTAAGACCCAAGGCTGTCTGCATAGGCCTAATGGAGAGGGAGCCACAAAAATGAAGTCAGTTGTTGAACTTAACCGTTAAATCTCATGGGAAGATTTGGCCTGCCTAACTTTCTGTCTAAAAGTATTTTCTTTATATTCTTTAACTAATCCATGTTAATAAATAAGAATAAGTGACCAGGCATGTTTTAAAGGGCCCTGAAGCCTCTAACTGTGCATTTCATTATGACTATAACGCTATGTGTCCAGGTTTCAGGGACCAGAACCAAGGACTTAGCTCTTCCACGTGTCTTTGTAGGAGACCACATTACTGTTCGCCAATATTCATTGCCCATCCTACGGGAGGAATGTGCCTCCTTGAGTCCCTAATGTCAGCCCTGGCCATGTGACTTCTCTGGCTAACAAAACGTGAGAAGAAGTGACATGTGCCACTTCTGGGATGGAAGCTTTAAGAGCCACCGTGTGTTTCATCTGCTCGCTTTTCCTCCTATCATTGTGACTCACAAGTGCTTAGACAGCAGCTGCTCTAAGAGCCTGGGTCCCAGCATGTGGACAACAATGACATGGAGGAAGCTCTGAGCCAACCTACAATGGATCATTGTCTACAGTGATTGAGATTTGGGGGCTGTTTGTTGCTACAGCCCATCCTAACAGTTACAGTCTTCTGGAATCTGAAAAGAAAAAAAAAATTACCAGCAACACCAGCACTTTCTCAGTTACCCAATTCTTAAATCTTTCTTATTTTTTTGTTCTCTAGATGATGCATATTTACTGCAGGGACTTAATATAGAGGAACTGTATCCAGAGACCTCCAGTTTCATTACATATGATGGATCGATGACTATCCCACCCTGCTACGAGACGGCAAGCTGGATAATAATGAACAAACCCGTCTATATAACCAGGATGCAGGTGAGCATCTCAGTGGTCCTTTCACTAACAGGGAAGATGATGGGAAGACCTGCTGGGTTTGTAGAGTGCTTGTTGCAGTCCCTTGCTAGGACGGCTTTGACAAAGAACCACAAATTCAGGGGCTTAAACAATAGAAACATATTGCCTCACAGTTCTGGAGGCTCTTAGTCCAAGATCAAAGTGTCTGCAGAGTTGATTCCTTCTAAGAACGTGAGGAAGAGTCTGTCCCATGCCTCCCGCCTGGTTTCTGGTAGATTTCTGACAATCTTTGGTGCTCCTTGGCTTGTAGAAGCGTCACCTCACTCTGCTGCTTCTTTACATGGAGTTCTCCCAATGTCTGTGTCTTTTTGTCCAAATCTCCCTTTTAATAAGGATATTGGTCCTATGAGATTGGGGCCTACCCCAATCAGTCATATTAGCTTAGGGCCCACCCCAAGAACCTCATCTGAGCTAATTATGTCTGTAATGACCCTGTTTCCAAATAAAGTCACATTCTGAGGTACTGAGGGCTAAGACTTTAACTTAAAGAGTCACATAGATTTCATTGTTGGGAGACTTCTCAGGGCCTTTAGAATAATGATCTATGTCAGTCTCCGAGAGGAGGCAGTAGGACGTGTAGTATTTTGCAAGCATATTGGACTGTGGGATTTTTTTTAAGCATGTCACAGTATCCCTAGCTGGGCCGGCTAGTGTTCTCAGAATTGAGGAGAACGAGGAGATCTGGCCTCTGAGCCAGCTTTGCTAATGTGCTCCTGGGCCCGTGGCCCCACTGCGGTGAAGTGAATTCTCCTCTTTAACGAGGTGGTGTAAATTACATGAGTCTGTTCTAGCTCTGACAGTCTATGACTGTGAGGGTCTATAAAAAGAAGAGGCGAGATAAGCGAAGAAAGCAAATCCTATCTCCTTTATAGGATGTGTATTCACAACCCGAAAACAATTTGCACAATTTGAAGTGCCTGATCCTATCTACACTGATTGGGACTCTTTTAGTGACAAGCAACCCTGTCCAGATAACTTAAACTGAGGGAAAGGATGTATTCAGGAGATAGCGGGGCATCTTACAGAATTTAAGATCAGAAATTGACGTCAGGAACTCACCGGAATCGGAACCTCAGAAGCCTTTCTCTCTGCTCTCTCCTGCTCCCTGCTGCACACTGGCTTCATTCTCCCTCCTGTTAGAGAGTCTCCCTTTGCTTCCCAGTCCTGGGGTGAAACATGGCTGCAAGCATTTTAGTCCAGCTCCTGATCCTGATAGTCACAGACAAGGAACCAAATTGATCCAGCTTAGTTGAGCTCCAACCCCTGGACCAGTCACTATAGTTTGGATAATACCCACGAAGGGGAATAATTCCCAGAATTATTAAACCCCAGGGTGTAAGAGAAAGAAGAGACCCTGGAGAATGCCCAGCCAGATTTCCTCCTTTGACAGATGACATGTCTGAGGACAGAAGGGAATCACTGGCTTGTTGAAAAGCACATATGAGCTAGTGCACTAGAAGCAAGGCTCGCTCCGAGCATGGAGGCATCAGCAGCAACAGCCGCCCCCACGGCCCAGGGTCTGTGAAGGGGTCAGGGGCCCTTGCCCACGTAGCTGGCACTGCCCCGTTGGCCATGGTCTATGTGGTCTTAACCTTTTCCCTAGAGCGTTTAAGAGGACGGATCGATCTCAGAGTTATTTCTCTCTCCTCAGATGCATTCCTTACGCCTGCTCAGCCAGAACCAACCCTCTCAGATCTTTCTGAGCATGAGTGACAACTTCAGGCCCGTCCAGCCACTCAACAACCGTTGCATCCGCACGAACATCAACTTCAGTTTACAAGGGAAGGACTGTCCGAACAACCGGGCCCAGAGGCTGCAGTATAGAGGTGGGTCCAGAGGGCGGGGACATTGGCCAGAGCCCAGTCTTCCTGCTCAGACCTGCTCTGGAGGGCCTGGCACTACTTCCCATTATAGGAATCAAGATGATAAGTGACAGTAAAGCCACCACCTTCCATTTGCATGGTGCTTTTCTATTGAAAAAGCCTGTATTTCATAAGAAGAGATAGCAATCAAATCTTTAAGTCTCTTCTGGTTCAGGCAAGTCAGCCTTTTTATAGGCAAGCCCAGAGAGGCTGATTTTCCCAAGGTTATGTATTAAAATAAGACAGCTAGAAACACTAGAGCTTTTAGTTATACACATAATAGACCCCTTTCCCCCTAGAAGGTGAGCAAGCGACTCTGGATGCCAGGCCATCGGGGCCCAGTGAGGTATGCATGTGAATACATCTTTTTCCATTGCTATGTTCTTAGAAGTGACTATAATTCCTACAAAAGGAGGCATTCAAGACACCTCTCACCTCCTGTAACACTCTGGTCCATACCCAGTTCTCTCTATTCCCTTCTATACTCTTAAGTGTCTATTGATCATTGTGGTAAGCCCTCAACAGGGAAAGGAAGGTGGAGGCAGGACAGTGTCACGGAGATGCCCCCAACCAGGGAGTCAGGACACCCAAGTTCCCAGCCTGGTTCTGACATTAACAAGCCGTGCAAACCCAACCAAATCATTTAGCCCTCTGGACCTGGCTGCTTTCATGGCCATCCCTAGACCATCTACTCCATGACTTGCTGTGAGGAGCAAATGAGAACCTGGATGGGGAAGCCCTCTGTAGTCATGATGTGCTGCCCAAATACGGGGACTATGGCTGGCACCCGGCAGCTTTTAGAAGCAGCTACCACTGCTACCTGCCACTATATCTCTCCTGCTTCCCCCACATTTCTGTCTTTCTTTTTCTCTCAGACACACCCAGAGTGCCGAAACTGTAGTTTTCTGTTCCCTTGCAGCCAGAACTACCAGGCAAATAAATACTCAACTCATTCACCAAGCTTTCTCTTTATTCAGTATCAATTTATGGTGCACCTACTATGCACCAGGCACTCAGCTAGGTGATGGGGCTATGCTGGTGATGAAGACAGACACCACCCTGCCTACAGGACTTACAGTCTAAGCGCAGGGTCAGAAAACTTCTTCTGCAAAGGGCTAGATGGTAACTATTTTAGGCTTTGTGAGCCATGCAGTCTCGGTTGCACTCTGATGTTGTAGTTGTGAAAGCAGCCATAGACAATATGCAAATGAGTGGGTGTGTCTGTGTTCCAATAAAACTTTATTTACAAAAACAAGTCACAGCTGGATTTAGCCTGTAGGCCGTCATTTGCCTACCCCCGGTCTAAAGCAGGGCCTCCCACTACAACTTTCTGAGATGATGGAGGCATTCTATACCTGCATTGTCCAATATAGTAGCTACTAGCCACATGTGGTTATTGAACATTTGAAGTGTGATTGGTATGACAATGTAACAAAATTTTTTATTGTATTTAGTTTTCATGAATTTAAATTTACAGTATAGCCACATGCAGCTAGTGACAACCATATTGGGTAGCTCAGGCCTAGAGGGTCGTAAGAAAGTGGAGTGGGTAGTTGGGACACACACAAGCAAGCAAGAATTTACAGCACTGTCCATTCGCCTTTTAGTAAGCCCCCCAAACTATGTGCAAATTAATTCAATTATGCCTTGTTTTGTGTTGTCTGTGTGTTTTGTTTTGTTTTGTTTCTTTCTCTTTCCAGTAAATGAATGGCTCCTCAAGTAGGGAACTAAGCCAAGAAGAATCCCACCTCAGTGAAATGCCACAACTGTGAACTGACATAACCTAAAATGTCCCCCTCCTTCCTTCTCTCTCCTTCTCTCCCTCAAGCCTCATTCACTCTTTGGATTGGCCCTTTCTTCATGAAAACTGTCTGCAAAACCTTGGCAGAAGAACACATCTCTTACACACACTCACCAACACACATACAAACACTCACACACACATACACACACAGGCAAACATAGCTACACACACACACACACACACACACACACTCAGCCTCCAAGATGGGAAGTCAAGTTTCAGAAACAAAAGGCTCATTCATAAGAGGTCTTAGAAGAAAAAAAAAAAAAAACGGTTAACCTGATTACAATTTTGATACTGTTTTCCTGAACAAATAAATCTACCCAATGAGACTGTTCAGCCTTTGTACATACAAAATTCTTCCAAAAGAGAGAGAGAAAACACAGTTCTGACAGCATCAAGTGGATTTTGTTCTTTGCTTCAAGTAATCTCGGATAGTGTCCCAGGATCCTTCGAGGGTGCTGGTGACAGGTGAACCAGGACAAAGTTGTCCAAGGACACTTATTACTAGATTATGTTTCTTCTGTTTACTCAACAATTTAAAAAGAAAAAAAAAGAACAGACATTGAAGAGATACACATTGTATATATATATCACCACAGACTATTAAAAAATGGAACTATTTCCCCTCTTTGTCACATATCTGTAGTAGGATTTGCCAAGATCAGATTGATCCATTTGCTGTTTCTTGTTTTCCAAAGGTCATACATTGTGTTTGGTTATTGTTAACAGCTCAATAAATGTGTTTAACGAGTTAATTTCATCTTTCTGGCTTTGGTCTGTTCTCCGTCCTTACAGGCTCCATGCAACTGCTTTCTTTGCTTTCACTTGCTCCTTCATTTACACGTTTTGTTCATTTGCAGCCAGTTTTTTACTGAGTTTGTGGCAACTGGGAATGCATTTGCTAAGCAAGCATAACTGTAATTCCACTCCATGGCTTGATCATTCATACGAGGTGAGCTTCAGCCTGAGATAGCAGGCGATAGATTTCTTGCATTTCAAAACTGCCATTATCCACCCCACCCCTCCTTCGTGATGCTCCCTTGAAGGAATGCACTTTGCCTTGTAAATTCCTGGGAAAGGGGTGTCTTTTTCTCTCCAGGTGCAGCTGGAATCTCACAAAGTACAAATGAATGCCTTTCTTTTCTTGTTTATAATGGTCACTCACTGTGTTTGGTTACTGTCAAGAAATCAATAAATGTGTTTAACAAGTTACCCAGTACCCATGCCTGAGTTTATTGAGGAGGAGGATGCTCCCTGCCGAAGCCTCCGAGTCCTGCTGTGTCCACGAGCAATTGCATTATGGCCAGCAGGGCAGCCGGAGCCACCGGAACAGCCTGTCTGGTCATTCCCAGAGCCAGGTAATTAATACCCTGTTGAGAAAACATATAGGCTTAGCTGCTGGAAGGGAAGGCTTGGATGTGGTCAAATTAAAAATAACTTTCATCTCTCCTTTCTGTCACAGCCTCCAGAAAGTGGGAAAGCACAGGAATGCAGGGTCTGTGCAAATGGGAACATTCACAATTATGTCAAAAACTTCGGCTAAGTGGCTAGGTGTATTGACAAAAAAAATATCAAGCAGCTAGATATTTCATATTTGAAATAATACACTTAATTGGATGTTTTCATTTTTTGCACCAATATTAGTTAGGTGATGGCCTTAGCCATGATGACACATGAGCCTGTTTCTGAGTAATCATATTATTCCAGCAAACCGAATCTGTCTGCAAAGATTTAGGTTGGGCTGGTGGCAGTCTTTCTATGTATGGCTTGCTGCTTCCTCTCTGACAGAATCTTCTTTAGCCATCAAGGGAAGGTAGCAATATCGTGTGTCAACCAGTCCTGGCTTCAGATCTTCATTCTGCTTGCCTGTTTGCTGTGTGACCCTAGGCAAGTTGCTTTACTTCTCTGATCTGCACATGGGGGATGCTAATAACTAACGCCATGAGGTATGAGGCTCAAATGCTATGCAGCTACTTAAAGCAGCTAGCACAATATCTGCCATGACTGTTCTGTAAATGATGCCCATGGAGCATGTGTGTGACCCACCTATCAGAGTTTTTTCTGGACCACACCATTCCTTGCTCTACAGGGAGGGCTTAGCATCAATCACAAGTGGGGCGTCGAATTAATACCAAACAATAGGGACAGATGCCCAGCAGAGAGCACACAGGTAAATCCCTAAAGTATGTCGGGGCAAAGAGGAAAGAGCGCCAGCAAGGAAGGGAGACAAGGAGCTGGGCTTACAGGCCTTGTTCTGTCACCAGCATCCTCTGCGACTTTGGGCAAGTCAACATCCCTCCCTGGAACAGCGTCCTTACCTATAAGTGACTTGGAGACAACGACCTCTCGTGGCCTCCCATGGTTCCCTCACTCTGTCTCTCATTCAGTTCTCAGTCGAGGGAGAACAAAGGAAAACCAGGCTCTCACCCCTTGGAGTCCCTGGGCACAGGCAGAATTTCACTCTGGCCAAACAGAACTTGAAATGGAGTGAACTAGCCTGTCTCCCCCCCCCTCCCCGAGCCCATCCCAAATATCCTTTCTCCCCACTAACTGGGTTTTCCAAACCATAAAATGGAAATGGGAGCACTTTGCCTTTACACCACATGGAAGTAATAAAGATTAGCTAGACTTATACCACTCTTCAAAAAAAGAAGTTTTAAAAGCACCAAAAGCCTTGAGAGGTGACCTGCTGAAGTCATCAAACAACAAAAATACATGCTAATATTTTGGGTCCGTGGTGCTCAGGACAGGCAGGCAGCAATGCAGAATCCTGCGGAGTGTGCGGGCCAGCTGGTTCTGCCCGTTACAGCCATAGGCTTACGTGAACACCCCTTCCCCCTAGAGAGGGTAACTAGACTTTGCAGGAAAATATGTGTCAAGCCTCAGCTCCCTCCTTAGTGAAATAGGGAAGGAAGGCAAACATACACAGAAGAGGGTTCTGGGCAAATTGCGTGAGGGGAAAAGGGAAGTCATGGTTGTGGAGACCCACAGCTCTCCTCTCAAGGACACATTTCCAGGTTTCCAAGACCATTCAGGGCCTTATTCCCACTTCCCTCAGTAGCAGTTGGGTTTCCATGGTGATGCCAGAACAGCCACAACTCACTGCGCCACATGTGTCTGGAATGTGAGAGTGACTGGGAGTCCGGGCAGGAGCAGCCCAGAGCCACCCACACCAGGCTGAAGGGTCTTGAGGGACTGAGGGTCATCAGTTAACATACACCAACACCTCCGGGGGAGCCCTCACCCAACCTACTGGACCCCAGATCACTGGTGGTTCATGAGAATGACCCACTTTTCCTGTCCCAGAAAGCCTAAAAGTAAAGTCCCAGGAGCAGAAACTCACTTGAACATCACTTACCAATTAGCACAATTGAACATAAGGAAATATGCGCTGAGGCCCCAGCCTAGGTAAGGTATTAATGAAATCCACCATGGATATCATGGATTGCACATTTCCTGGGGGCCACGCCCTGTGCTAAGCAATGAATATAAGTATGTTCACGTACAGCTGAAAAATTGTGCTCTACACTGGAAATTGACACAACATTGTAAACTGACTAAAACTCAATAAATAAAAATGTTGAAAAAAAAGAAGCAACTTACAAATATCTCATTTCACCCATGCAGCAACCCATAAGGTACTCAGCACTGCTGTGTTATAAATGCAGAAACCGCATTATTAAAGAGTGGGGACATGCTCAGGGTCACGTAGCTCTCAAGTGGCAAAGCCAGGCCTAGCTCTTCTAAGCCAGCGGTTCTCAATGTGTGGCTCTGACTATCAGCACCACTGGGAAACAGGACTGAAATGCAAACTCTTAGATGGCTCTGAAGACCTCCTGACACTCCGGGAGCAGGGCCCAGCCATCTGTGCTTGAACAAGCTCTCACGGTGATTTTTGAGGTGCACTCCAATGTGAGGACCAATGTCAATCAAATCCTCATTCCTACTAGCTCCTCCCAAACTTTGCTACACATTAGAATCTCCTGGGATGTTTTAAAAATCCCAGTGTCCAGGCTGTACCACACACCGCTGAAGTCAGAACGTGTGGGCTTGTCAGGGTTTTACAAAAATCCCCAGATGATTCCAACATGCAGCAAAGTTGGGAACCACACCCCTGTCTGAAGGACCTTGTCCGAGGAGGGGTCTCCTGCAAGGTGGGAACCAAGAGGCTGGTGTTAACTAGCAAGTCTTCAGTCCTTTCAGAATTGCGTCCTGACCCCTGTGCATAATTTTTTGGATGGTCTCATAATGTTCCCCAGTCCCTTCACCTTCCCCAAATCTTCAATTAATAAGTCCAGAGTTTGAATAACAAATCTCCCTTTTTAAAATACATGAAGCAGTAGTATTTGAAACAATGGTTTGGTGTCAACCTTCCAAAATCCACCCCAAGTCATCACTCCTGATTACTCAGATTGTAACATTTCCAAGAATTCAGACTATTATGAACAAATAAAAAAAATGCTGTGAGTCAGGAGACCATAAGTTTGAAAAGATAGGATGAGTCCGTAATTAAAAATCATAGGCAAATTACAGCCCTGTCAGTACCACTGTCATGGTGTCTCTTCCATGCAGTGCTCCCCCGCCCAGCCCAGCAACCTTGTGACAAGCCCGAGTCCCCACCCTCATCAGCTCAGGCCAGACTCTAGTAATATCCATCCAGCAGAGCCTCCTGCCTCCAGTCTCCAGGTAAGTGAAAAGCCATGGGCCAAGAGCAAAAAAAATACCCAAACTTTGCTCTCAGATAAGAGGAACTTGAATCCACCCTTAGCAGAGTTTGCAGGAAGTTTAGGCTGGAAGGGCAAGTGGGTAGAGGATGATCTGAGACACCTTCCAAGGGAGAAACTAAAATGCAAAGCTAAGCAAACCATCCAAAGGGAAGCGCTCCAAATCAAATGGTAGAGAAACAGACTCCAGATGTCATGTGAGAGGACAGAACCTACATGCCATACCTGGAAAGGAGACAGGGGAGCAGAACCCAGGGATATTTCCTGAGCTGCTCTTCATAAGTTATCTGAAGTCTTGGCCATGGGCCAAGGTGAAGAGGAAGAGACTGAGAGTCTTGTCCTGATCCTGGCATTTCCAACCCATTCCCATCCCTTCACTAGAATCAATGAACCAAAACCTCCAGAAGGAGCACATCTCCCAAGATGCAAACTTCCAATGATCCTCAGTTGTTTTCAGGTTAAAGGTGCAAATCCATTGGCAAAGCAAAGCTTCCCTTGATGGATCCCCAGCAGAGGTCTGCGAACTCACATCCCAGCCTCCCAGTCTCAGTCGTCCGTCAGCTTGGAATGCTCTTTCCGGATCCTCCTCACCTGTGGAACCACACATTTTCAAAGCAACACAACTCAAATGCCACCCCAGGCTTCCCTGATCTCCCTGAGGAAAATTATTTCTTCCTTGCTCTGAGCTCAAATATCATATTGATTTTGTCTTTAATTAACATTGACTTCATTTATTAGAAATATGGATAATAAAAAATATACACATGTTATATATATACATAGAAGTTCATTTGATTCTTTATTTTCCTGTCTGTACATGCCAATTTGAAGTTCTCTGAACACCGAGATTATCTCTTCATTCATCTCTGTAGCTCTCCCTCACATGCACAGAAAGAAAAAGAGAAAGACATCATATTATAATGCCTTGAAAGTAGTAGGTACTTGAAGAATCTTGTTGATACATTAGATTTTCCTATGGGAGGGAGGATAGTGTTTGATTCTTCTTCATTTATAGTTGTTGAGCTCCTTCTTTGTAGCAGGTGTATATCAGACATAGTGCTGGGTATTTTACATATATTTTACAAATTTTTTTATTTTATTTGGTGCTTATGACAGTTCTGCTAAGTAGTTCTTGGCTTTACTTTATAGTGATAACAAATTGAAATTATAATGGAGTCGTCACAGTCGGGTATACCAAAATGGCATTTGGCAGCCATTGAGAATCTGGTCTTAGATACATCCCTGCACCACTGAGAACTTGAACTTTCTCTGAACTGTACCAGACTCAAGAACACCACCAGAATGCAGTTTGGTGCAGCCACTATGGAAAACAGTGTGGAGATTCCTCAAAAGACTGGAAATAGACTTACCATATGACCCAGGAATCCCACTCCTGGGCTTGTATCCAGAAGGAACCCTACTTCAGGATGACACCTGCACCCCAATGTTCATAGCAGCATTATTTACAATAGCCAAAACAT